GTGACAGAAAGCATGGTGAAGAAACATGTGGAACAGTACAGAAGGATTGGTTGAATGATGCTTTGGTACAGAAGTAGCAGTAGATGGGGGGCGACATAGAGTCCTTTCGGATAGCTGGCAGTCTTTGTTGGCTCTCTTTTTTTGTATGTCTCTGGTGTGCTGATCGAAATTGAGTTTATTGTCCAGAGTTACACCCAGGTATTTAAAACTGTCCACTGTTTCAACTGTTTGATTGTCAATAATTATTATTATTATTTCTTTGGTTTTACTGACTTTGATGTGAAGATGGTTGTCCATATACCACTTGAGTGAAGTGCGTGACTGTGTTGTGATAATCCAGAGCAGAGAGGTTGTCAGAGAGAAGTGCAAGAATGGACGTGTCGTCTGAATATTTCAGATAGGTTGAAAAGTCTTTGCAAAGTAGCTGCCATGAGGGTCGAGTGAGCAGGCAGAGAAGACAAATAGGCGGGCAAGCATGACTCACTGGTCTAATCTGATGCTCGAGAGGTGGGGATCTACTGCCACCCTCTGCCCATGGCCAACATGACATCTGCAGTGGCCAAGATCAGTCACACAGCGAGAGGAGGATCTTGGCTAGTTTATACAGTCATTGGTATAGAGAGTATACAGGAAAGAGCTCAGCACACATCCCTGTGGAGCTCTGGTGTTGATCGTGAGTACAGGGGATGTGACTGAGCCCACCCTCACTGCTTGCAGTCTGTCGGGGGGGGGGTCTGATCGATACCACCTCTGTGTGTTCTTAACAAAGTATGGTATATAACAGTACAGCTTCCGGGGTAAATGAGTTAATAAGCTTCAAAATAAAAGTCCAGAAGTGTTCATGGAATTACAGACTTACTCAGAAAAACACATGCAGGAGGATAAGTGATAAAAAATACACAATTTTGTCTTAACTAAATAAAGAAACAAAAACAGTTTATTTGTTTTCACATATGCAAAAAACAACAAACAACAACAACAAAGTAGTACATGAGCAACACAAATGTGATGAAAAGATGCAAAAAAAAAACAGCCCTCAGAGGGGCTTAATCAAGGCACTTTCCAGAGTATACCCTAATCCATCAGTTAACTCAGTAAAATATTACAAAGCTGAAAAAGAGAAAGACAATGATAAAATACACAAACCATGTATACAAGTACACAAAATTAAGATCACTAAATATTAGTAGACAGTTTACAAACTGAATCCATAAGTGTAACATTGAGGAAATAAAATCAAACCTTTAACACCACAATTCATCAGTATAACTTTTTTTTAGAGCTGATTGTTGTTCCATTGTCATCTGCTGTGTTAATTGATCCAACCATTGGGAGATGTTGATGTTTTCCTACTCTTCCAGTGTAGTAGTATTGTTTTCTTGGCGACAGATTCACAAGTAGGGCAGAGTTGCCAACTCTTTTCCAATGAAAGTAGCTAGCACTAGCTACAAGAAGTCGCTAAAAGTCTCCCAATGACAGCATATGCTCACATGGATATTAATGATGCAGACTAAGGACACATTCACACTGGCGCTATTTGGTCCACTTGAAACGAACCCTGGTCCGCTTCCCCGAATAGTTTGGTTTATTGGAGTGGTGTGAACACTCATTCGAACTCTGGTGTGGACCAAACGAGCAAACCCTGGTCCACTTCCCCAAATAGTTTGGTTTATTGGAGTGGTGTGAACGCTCATTCGAACTCTGGTGTGGACCAAACGAGCAAACCCTGGTCCACTTGAAAACTGGGGGTCTTGATTCACTTGTAAGTGAACCCTGGTGCGGTTCGCTTACAGTGGAAATTGCAAAAGGACAATCCCGCGAACCAAAGAGAGGAAGTTCAAGTTCAAGAATCTTTATTAGCCCCAAGGGGCAATTAGTGCTACAGCTAGCAGTTAACAAAACAACATAGAAACAAATATATATGTCAAGACAACACACACATTGAGTCAAGACAAGTCATTTAAAAGTCTTATCGCTGCAGGGACAAATGAATCCCTCAGTCCATTTGTCCTGCATCTAGGCAGCAGATATCTGTGTCCAGACGGAAGTATCCTGAACTCTCCACAAAGCAGGTGGTGTGGATCTGCCAGGATCAGTCTGACCTTTTTCACCAACCTCACCTTGTGCAGATCAATGAAGTTGCTTTGGGCTGTGCCAGCAATTTTACTGCACACGCTGACAATTCCCAACAGTTTGTTCCTGTTCTTACATGTTAAAAGTCCGAACCAGCAGATGAAGTTAAAGGTTATTAAAGACTCGATAAAACAAGAATAAAACATTCTAATAAAAATAAAATCCACATTAAAACCACAGCGCTTCCAATAAAAAATACATCTGCTGATAAGCCTTCTTACAAAGTGAGTCCACATGGGCTTCAAAGTCAGCCTGCCGTCAAGAACAGTTCCCAAGTATTTATACTCGTTTACAATTTACACCAGAAATGACTACTGAGAGGTAACTGTACCATTCTTTCTAAAATCAATAACCATCTCATTCGTCTTTGATACATTTCTCTGTAAGACGGAGGACTCACACCACTCAAATCCCTGACTGCTGGCCCATCATCGGGGTTGTCACTGCTGAGAGGGGACAGGATGACTAAGTTGTCAGCAAACATCAAAATGTGACGCTGTGGATGCTGGCTGCAACAATCATTGGTGTATAAAATTAATAAAAGGGGTGCAAAAACACAGCCCTGAGGAGGACTCAGTGACATAGAGCGCAGTAAATTTTGGTGCTTTTGTGGTGACCAAGCCGGTTGAAGGGGATGGATTTACGTTTTCGGTCCTGGCCAATCAATGAGCCAAGTTTTCTTCTTCCTAGTGCTTTTTTGCCTTCTGGTCAGTTGTCATTTCAGGCAATACTGCTCCCAAACAGCAACAGTTGTTGCTATTTGTCCTGCTTTAAAAAGGGCAGAGTGAAAGTGAACCGGACCAAACAAAGGTGTAAAATTTTTCGGCATTCCCTGCCCAGTCGAACCAAGTCCTCTGGAATATCGTGGCGTTAATGCGCCCTTAGTCACCACGACCTTGGTCTAAACCTTACAGGTATAAATTGGAAACTGTTTTAAATTGTAGAGATATGTAAATACAGCAAACCTGTTTATTTCTGTTGTAATATGCAGCTGTAATTGTAACGATTAAAAATATATGGTTCAACATGGTGGTTTGAACGATCTGATGTTTCTGCTGTGCTTATCTAATGTCCTTAGTTGCTCCCTTGCTTTCACTTGCCGCTGCAGCAACTGCTCCTCTCATCCACTGATCAGATCAGAGCAGCTGATAAATTATCCACCCCATGACTCACATAAACGCTGCTGAGGGGATAAAAACAACTAATTACGAGTTCCACCTGCATTGCATTCATGAACCTGTAAAAACCTCAATATTTAGAGAGCGCGGGGCGTCGGTGGCTTAGTGGATAGAGCGTGCGCCCCATGTACAAGGCTGTTGCCACAGCGGCACGGGTTCGAGTCCAGCCTGTGGCCTTTTGCTGCATGTCATTCCCTCTCTCTCCCCCTTTCGCGCTTGGCTGTCCTGTCCATTAAAGGCTAAATGCCCCCCAAAAAAATCTTCAAAAAAAAAAAATTTAGAGAGCAGACACAGAATGATACAGACTAAAATTGGCGTGGGAGCTATGAGGAACAAATCAACAGTTTCTATCAAACGAGTCTTTGGTAGAAACACACAGAAACCACCACATAAAAACAGGGTCATAAAAAAAAAAACAAAATCCACATCAGCTTAGAATACTTTCACTGCTTCACCTTGCTGTCAGATGGCCCTCTACAATAGTAAACTGATGTTTATCTTTTGGAACTGTCCTAACTGTGTCAGTTATCTTTTATGCTTCTCCAAACTGTGAGCTGCTCGTCTTTGAGTCAAATAAATTGTCTATAATTAGGTCCCATAAAATCTGAGTAGACATGGCTTGGGCAGCAGAATCTGAGTGGAAAAAGCCTTAGCTCCTCCCCTGCATGCAGCTCTGCTCCCCAAGAGTACCCCTCCTTTCCTCCTCTCTCTTCAATAGTGTTGGCTTGCTTTTAATTGTTTTTTGGGGAAACACAGTTTACAGCTTCAGGGGCCTTTTCCAGATCTGACTTTTAGTTTTGATTCACACAATACGAATACACTCTCAGTAAATTTAATCAAACAATTGATAATATACTTGGTTACATGTTTGGTCTAACACACATTTTGTTGTCAATAATGGTTAAACACTTGTTACTCATCCTTCTAACTGTAAATCATAAATATAATTTAGCTTGGCTAGAGGCTCTACCTCTTTGCTCTCCTCAGTTTGAGTTTGATGAGATTGTGAGGACTGACAAACACCACACTGATGGTTTCTGAGCTGTTTTGGCCAAGTGAAACTTTGATGACAAACACTGCAGCTATAAGGTTTCTCTCCTGCATGGGTTTCATGCATTTGTGTCACTGTCAAGTTTGTGTTTAAGATTTCATACAAACACTGAGGCTGAAAGGTCAATTGCTGATATGAGTTCTCATGTGTGTTTTTCAAGTGTCATTCCATGAAAAAGATATTTGTACAAACAGAGCAGCTGAATCACTTTGCTCCTCCATGAGTTTTCATGTGTGAATATAAATTTTCACTTTGTCTAAACGATTTCCCACAAATTACACAGCTAAATGGTTTCTCTGCAATATGCGATCTCATGTGTTCCTTGAGATGTTCACTTCGACCAAACCTATTCCCACACTCAGAGCAGATGAATGGTTTATTTCCTGTGTGAGATCTCATGTGTTTTATCAGATTTCCTCTTTGACCAAATCTTCTCCCACACTCAGAGCAGCAAAATGGTTTCTCTCCTGTGTGAGATCTCATGTGGTCCTTCAGATGTTCACTTCGACCATATTTTTTCCCACACTCAGGGCAGCTGAATGGTTTCTCTCCTGTGTGTGATGTCAAGTGTTTCTTCAGATGTGCACTCTGACTAAACGTTATGCCACACTCAGAGCAGCTAAATGGTTTCTCTCCTGTATGAGATCTGATGTGTGTCTTCAGATGTTCACTTCGACGGAATCCTTTCCCACACTCAGAGCAGATAAATGGTTTCTCTCCTGTATGTATTCTCATATGTGCCCTAAGGTCTCCACGTTGACCAAATCTTTTCTCACACTCAGGGCAGCTAAATGGTTTTTCTCCTGAATGAACTCTCATGTGGACATTCAGATTTTCATTGAGGCCAAATCGTTTCCCACACTCAGAGCAGCAAAATGGTTTCTCTCCTGTATGATATCTCACGTGTCTCTTCAGATTTCCATTATGACTGAATGTTTTCCCACACTCAGAGCAGCTAAATGGTTTCTCTCCTGTATGAGATCTCATGTGTCTCTTCAGATTTCCACTTTGACTAAATCCTTTCCCACACTCAGAGCAGCTAAATGGTTTTTTACTAACCATCCAATCGCTGACAGGGACTTGATCATTTTTCAGAGAATCTAAACCTGACTGAGGTTCACTGGTCTCTTTCCAATCATCACTGTCATCAGTCTCAGGTTGTAAATGAGTTTCTGGATCTGAGTTCCTGGCTGGTTCTGGTCCTCCACAGTCCTCTCCTTCCGCTTCTGTTTCCATCTGCTGTGTTTGTCTTTGATGAAGCTGTGAGGACTGAGGTTTCTCTTCATCATCTTCACTCTTCACAGTGACAGGAGTGGATGTGAACTTGGTGATATCATCCTCCTCCAGCCCTTGAAGCTGCTCTCCCTCCTGACTGATCCAGAGTTCCTCCTGTTCCCCTTTAATGTGTGGAGGCTCTGGGTCCTCCTGGTCCACCCTGGAGCTCTCAGGTTCAGAGGACTCTCTCGTCTTGTCATCAGTCACTGGTTGTAAATGTGTATCTGGATCTGAGTTCCTGGCTGGTTCTGCTCCTCCACAGTCCTCTCCCTCTGCTTCTGTTTCCATCTGTTCAGTGTGTCTTTGATGAAGCTGTGAGGACTGAGGTTTCTCTTCATCATCTTCACTCTTCACAGGGACAGGAGTGGATGTGAACTTGGTGATATCATCCTCCTCCAGCCCTTGAAGCTGCTCTCCCTCCTGACTGATCCAGAGTTCCTCCTGTTCCCCTTTAATGTGTGGAGGCTCTGGGTCCTCCTGGTCCACACTGGAGCTCCACTCCTGCTGCTCAGGGGGAACCTCTTCTTTAACCACCGACAGCTGCTGGACGTCTGCAGGAAACACACACACACACACACACAAATCATTAACATGTATTTTAATCAAGACTAGTTGACTAGTCTAAAAAAGGGAAATGGAGCAAATTGAGTATGCCTTCACAGGAAGCTAACCCCCCAGAAGCTGTGCTTGTATCATGACTGCCTTTTTATATTGTGAAAATGGTGTAACACAACCACTATTTTTGCTTTTTATGTCTTTATAATCACAACCAGCTACTGTCAGATTATTGTCTAAAAATATATTAATCATGTGAGAGTATCCATATTGAATATTGTAGACATTTGGAGGAAATGTGTGCTCATTTACCTAGCTGTGATGTATTTTTTCCACAAATGCAATTGCAGGATTTGGCCACAAGACAGCTAAACAATAGAGAGTAAACTATATCTGATGGTTGTCTCTCCCAATGACTAAGACAACACTTTCACATCAATTCACTGAAGAAAGGCCAAAAGAAATGGTAGATTAAGGGCAAATCATCACACAAGTTTTTTAGGTTTATCTGTCTCTAAGAACTACCTTCACCATAGCAGGGGGAACTCATTCTGACAGCTGATAATGTCACATACTATTTCATCTGTGGTCAATATGAAAAAAGCTCACACCTTTGTCAGATTCATACTGCTGACTTGTTTCCCCGCATCAGGTAAGTTCTGTGATTTCCAGCCTCTTATCCAGGCTACCCAGCAGTACGTCAGGAAATATATAAAAAATATTCATAAATACATTTTTGTTTGCTCTACATTGACCAGCTGCAGCATTATTATGATGAACACATCAATGTTTCAATAATTATAATCTTGAAACATATATTATGATTAGGCATGTGCCAGTATGAGATTTTGACGGTATGATAACCGTGGGCAAAAATACCACGGTAATCTGTATTACCGCGGTAATAACAATAATAAAATAATAATAATAATAATAATAATAATAATAATAATAATAATAATAAAACAAGCGTCGTCCTATTTTCATGCTCTACACTTTAAAACGGTAGGCTAATATTCGTTTGACCATTCATGAGCGACAGCACGTACCAGGCATCTCCTGTCAGTGCAACGCATCATCACACCAGTTGTTTAAATGTGTAATATAGATAGATACTTATAGTTAAAAGTAATAGAGCCATTTCTTAACTTCACGATGGTCACTCCGCCCAGCAGCTTGTTGGGCTCCTCGTCGTTGCGGACAGTCAACTGCCGGTGACGGGGGATGATACGGGTCTTCTTGTTGTCGCGGGCAGCGTTTCCAGCCAACTCCAGGATCTCAGCGGTCAGATACTCCAGCACAGCCGCCAGGTAGACGGGGGCACCGGCACTGACACGCTCCACATAGTTTCCTTTGCGCAGCTGCCTGTGAACACGGCCGACTGGGAACTGGAGCCCAGCATGGGAGAAGCAGGTCTTTGCCTTGGCTCTGGGGGTTCTTCAGACAGCCTAAATGGTCCCACACCACCGACTTCGTCCTTTTCGCCGGTGAGAAAAGTTCAGCTTCACCTCCTCCAGCCATATTTGCAGTTTGCACGTGAGTGAATTTACACTGATTACTGACGTACTGACTGACTGACTGAGGCTACCCCCCAGTAACTGTGCTGACTGCAGCGGCTGAACATGCATGATTTCAGAGTGTGTGCCAGTTAAAATGTAGGACTGGCACAGAGTTATTTCTGAGTTTTGAGTTCCTGAAGTTCCCATTTATGAAACATAGCATAGGTTACACCGTCAGCCTTTACCGTCGGAACGGAAAATGGGCGGTTAGTGACACCGTGACATTCTTTTACCGTGGTAAACTGTGACGCCGGTAACCGGCACATGTCTAATTATGATGCAGTAAAACATGACACTAGCTAATTATCTCAAAGATAAACTTGGCTGTGATGTCTGTGTGAACGCATTAGCACTGTGAACACTAGATATAGCTCTTTCAAAGTGTGTGTGGAATGTAAAGAAGTGACAGAGATATATAGACCCGAACTATGGCCTGAGAGCTCTGTCGTGCTGTCTGTCAGCGAGTCCTCCTCCACCTTTTTTTAGACTCCACCATAGACAACAGCAGCATTTCTTCTACCATGTAGCGAGCCACAAGCTTCATGACTTCTTTCGGACTGATAGGTTTAACGTTATCTCCGTTATTAGAACCAAAAGACAGTGGTTGCTGTTTCGGAGCTTAAGGGCCAGAGTTCTAAAAGTAATGGAAGTAACTGATAGCTTGTTTGAAAATGTACTCAAGTATTTGATTACTCAAACAGCAAACTAACGTGTTAGGTTACTCGTTACTGCAAAAAGTAATCCAAGTACTCTAAAGTGTTACTGTGTAACGCGTTATGCCCAACTCTGGTTAAGAGAGCTCCATACTTAGTGGAATGTGTAGTGGACAAGGAGACAGTCATCACTTTCAGTGAAGTCTATCAGGCCATAAAACAGCTCTCTGAGAAGAAAGCCAGTGGTTCTGATCATATCACAGCTGAACATCTTAAATTTGCAAGTCCTAAGGCTGCAGCATTACTTGCCATGTGTTTTACTGGTTCATGACACATGGGCTGCTGCCTGACTCTATATTGTCCGTCACTCTTGTGCCAGTTATTAAGGACAAACAGGGCTCAACAATAAGGATTGCCCGATTGCCCGGGGCAAGTAAAACTCAAGGTCGGGCATGTAAACTAACAACTCACTTGCCCGATCGGGCAAGTTGCTAAAAATAGTAAAAGTTAACAACTAATTGATAAAATAAATGTATTTTAAAACGTGCTCTTCTGCTCTGATGCAGCGGTCTCTCTGCCTGAAGTCACAGGCACACGCTGTGTAACAATGTCCTGCCCACAGCCCCCATTGATATTATTTTGCG